CAATCTTTATTGAAGTGAACCACAGAGAAGAGCTAAAAGGACACCAGGTTGGGAGTCAAAACATCACAATTATCTTCCCTTGTTGCTGCCGCCAGCTTTACCCATAACCTACCACCATGGCCTAAGCCCATGGAATTTGCAAAGCTTCCAAAGTCTTAGACAAGAGCCGAGCCCATCTTTGTGTGCTTGCATCCAACTGTGATAAGCCTATGTATTCAGGTTGGTGAAGGCCTTTTGTGCTGAGCCCCAAACCAACCTAATTAAGGTTGATGAAAAGAAGGAACTAGGGGAGAGCATAGGCCTCTGTAAAGTTGACCATAAGAGAAAACCCCATAAAGTGTTTGTTTGCAGTTGTGTAGTGGTTGAGGACCATTAGCAAAGAATCCCAACAAGGATGTAATCCAAGAGTACTTCATATGCAAGAAATGAACAAATAAAATTTTGGGTTGGGGCTGGGATTGTGGCTCAGAGGTAGAGTGCTCACCTAGCGTGCCTGAGGCACTGAGTTCAATCTTCAGCACCACATAAAAATAAAAATAAAGATATTGTGGGCTGGGATTGTGGCTCAGTGGTAGAGCGCTCACCTAGCACGTGCAAGGCCCTGGTTCAATCCTCAGCACCACATAAAAATAAAATAAAGATATTGTGTCCAACTACAACTAAAAACAAATAAATAAAGATATTGTGTCCAACTATAACTAAAAAATGAATATTTTAAAAACAATTTTGGTTAACAAAAAAAGCACACCAGAATTTCAGTTCCAGTTCTGCCACTCGAAAGTGATCGATCACTTTGCATCTCTGAACCTTTGTTGACTCATCTGAGGAATCAATTCAGACTAAATAAGTACCTAATAGGTCCTTCTAAGTTTGAACTATTGATTCTATAAGTTTCTTTTTTACATCTTATTTTAAAACATTTCCCAGCCAGGTATAGTGGCACATACCTATAATCAATTCATGAAGTTTAAGGCAGGAGGATCACAAGTTCAACAATGGTGTCAGCAACTTAGTGAGACCCTGTCTCAAAAAGTAAAAATGGTTGGGATGTGGCTCAGTGGTTAAGAACCTAAGTTCAATCTGCAGTACCAAAATAAAACAAAATTAAAAAAACATTTCCCAAAGGACAGGGCCATTATCTTCCTCTCTCTTCTGAATGATACAGCTTCTTCTACTGTTCTTCAAAGTGTTTTCCTATTGACTATTTCGTTTGACCCTAGAAATAATTATACTGTGACAGCTTAGTAGCTGTAATTTTAAAAAATCAGCATTCTTCAGAACAAGTGGCATGAAGATGAACAGTGTGAGATACTACCACTGCATATTTATATGTGCATAAAGACACCCTTTAGGGAGGTGTGATGATTGGGCAGGTGCTGGGCAGGAGATTACAAATCTTTTCACTGCATATCTTATATCATTGGATTTTTTAAACTATGTGAATATGGCATCTATTTTTAAAAAATTAAGGATAATGAAAAAAAAAAAAAAAACGAATGACAACATTTCCAATGCAACATTTCAACAGGCCATAGCAGGTGACAGACAGATCTGAGATTAGCAGCCAGGCCACAACTGTCAAAACGGCTATCAGAAAACCCTTTTAACTATATGTGAAAAGAATCAAGCTGGGAGCTGGGGATATAGCTCAATTGGTAGAGTGCTTGCCTCACATGCACAAGGCCCTGGATTTAATCCCCAGCACCAAAAAAGAAAAAGAAAAGAAAGAATGAAGCTTGGGGTCTGGGGTTGTAACTCCGTGGTAGAGTGCTTGCCTAGCATGTATAAGGCCCTGGGTTCAATCCTCAGCACCACATCACCACATAGAAATAAATAAAATAAAGGTCCATCAACAACTAAAAAATATTTTTAAAAAAGAATCAAGCAGGGTATGATGGTACACACCTGTAATCCCAACTACTGAGGAGGCTGATGCAGAATGATTCCAAGTTTGAGGCCAGCTTAAATAATTTAGTGACAATTATCTAAAAATAAAATTTAAGAAAAGGACTGGGAACCAGGTGCAATGGCTAATGCCCGTAATCCCTGCAACTTGGGAGGCAAGAGAATCACAAGTTTGAGGCCAGCCTCAGCAATTTAGCAAGACCCTCAGCACCTTAGTGAGACCCTGTCTCACAATAAAAAATAAAAAGGAGCTGGACATGGTGGCACATGCCTATAATCCCAAAGGCTTGGGAGGCTGAGGCTGGAGGATCGCGAGTTCAAAGCCAGTTTCAGCAACTTTGTAAGGCCTAAGCAACTTAGTGAGACCCTGTTTAAAATTTAAAAATAAAACAAGGACTGGGGATGTGACTCAGTGGTTAAGCACAACTGTGTGTGTATGTGTGTATGTATGTGTGTGTGTGTGTGGTAGAGCACTTACCTCACATGTGCAAAGCCCCGAGTTCAATCACTAGCACTGGAAAAAAAAAGAATCAATCAAAATCTAATAATCTAGTTTCTGTTTTAATCTAGTTCATTCCCAGACAATAAGATATAAACTAAAATTTAGGGCTGGAATGTATTTCAATGGTAGAATGTTTGCCTATCATATATGAGGCACTGGGTTCAATTCCCAGTACCATTTAAAAAACAAAATAAAGATCAACTTCACAGAAGATGCTTTCAAAAGGGGAGGTAAAGAATTTGGATTCTGGGGCTGGGGATGTGGCTCAAGCGGTAGTGCGCTCGCCTGGCATGTCTGCGGCCTGGGTTTGATCCTCAGCACCACATACAAAGATGTTGTGTCCGCGGGAAACTAAAAAATAAATATTAAAAAATTCTCTCTCTCTCTCACTCACTCTCTCTTTAAAAAAAAGAGTCTGTTACTGGGGCTCCCACTGGGAGGGGTCAACAAACAAATAAATGCTTTTTAAAAAAAGAATTTGGATTCTAACACTAAATCTGAACAACTCATTTTGTAGCCTCTAAGGAGATATATTTAGTGGATGATCCCCACCTAGAGGCAAAGTGGAGAAATAACAGACTTGAAAAGCAATAGATTTAGTGATTTAATAATGCTATAAATTTTTTATATCCACAATTCCCTATATGTACTGCCTGCCCTCTTTCTTCCTTTCCAGCAATAGCTATCACAACAGCCAATCAAATGAGGCCTGTGAGACACTAAATAATGACTAGCAGTTACATTAAATTTGTCATTAGGGCCGGGTGTAGTGGCACATGTCTGTAATGCCAGCAGTTTGGGAGGCTGACACAGGAGGATCCGAAGTTCAAAGCCAGCCAGAGCAATGGCAAGGCGCTAAGCAACTCAGTGAGACCCTGTATCTAAATAAAATACAAAACAGGGCTGGGGATGTGGCTCAGTGGTTGAGTGCCCCCAAGTTCAACCTCCAGTACAAAAAAAAAAAAATTGTCATTAGGATGGGGTGCTTTCCTTGAACTGTAAAAGGTCACTGCTGTACTATCACAGGGTGACACAATAAAGACCAAGTGTGAATATAACCTCCTTCCTTCTATAACTCCTGCCCTGTAAAATGAGGTGGGTGGATATCACACAGCATACGTGTGCTTAAGATCACCTCAATTCAGGCACCATGGTATACACCTATATTCCCAGTGCCTCTGGAGGCTGAGGCAGGAAGATCGTGAGTTCAAAGCCAGGCTCAGCAACTTAGTGAGGCCCTAAGCAACTCAGTGAAACCCTGTCTTTACATAAAATACAAAAAAAAAGGGCTGGGGATGTGGTTCAGTGGTTAGCACCCCTGGGTTCAATCCCCAGTACCAAAACCAACCAAACAAACAACTTAGTGAATTGGGGATGTGACTCAGTGATACAGCACTTGCCTAGCATTCACAAAGCCCTGGTTACTGTCCCCGGCACCACAATAAAACAAAGAACTGGTGTTCTCACCTAGAAGTCCTGATGTCACCTGTGTTTTTGTATACATGTAGAGCAAGCATTGTCTTCACTGTGTCAGCTCTTCATATTATTTGGTTACCTTTAATGTTAAAATATGATGGGCTGGGATTGTGGCTCAGCAGTGGAGTGCTCGCTTAGCAAGGGCAAGGCCCTGGGTTTGGTCCTGAGCACCACATAAAAATAAGTAAAAAAATAAAGGCATTGTGTCCATCTACACCTAAAAAATAAATATTAAAAAAACCCATGCAACTCTTTCAAGGGATCACTACACTCATTTGAATAAAACAAATGATTGTTGATACTGCTCTATCCTAAAACAAAAGTCAACACTTATGCATATACTGTGATAGATACCATACAAAATGAATGAAAGCTGAAGGTGTGATCAGTTCCAACCTCTTTTTAAAAATTTTTTAGTTGTAGTTGGACACAATACCTTTATTTCACTTATTTATTTTTATGTGGTGCTGAGGATCGAACCCAGGTCTCGCACATGCAAGGCGATCACTCTACTGCTGAGCCACAACCCCAGCCCGAGTTTCAACCTATCTTAACTGTAATTTTATTTTACTGCCATGCAAAGGATTTAACCCAGGGCCTTGTACTTCCTAACGAGTTATCTACCCCTGAGCTACCTCCCTAGGTACCTAAATAAAATTTTAAATACTGTAGGATCCACCCAGAAAAGGAACTAGGGGAAAAAAGTTTGTTTTCTGTGTTATCCTATCAATCTCTGAAGAAATGTTTATTTTGAAATATTTATTTTTTTAGTTATAGGTGGACATAATATCTTTATTTTATTTTTATGTGGTGCTGAAGATCAAACCCGGTGCCTCACACATGGTAGGCAAACACTCTACCTCTGAGCCACAACCCTAGCCCATGAAGAAATGTTTTTTTAAAAATATATTAATACCTATTAAAAAGATAATTGTACTACCATTCATGATGTATTAGGTTCTAGGTACAGAGATAGTGCTTGGTGTACATTATTTCTACAATTGTACAAGTCTTGGCTGTTTCCTGGTTTTGCTTTTTTTTTTTTTTTTAAAAGTAATAAAGCTACACTGGATAGACCGCTTGAACTTGTATAGTATATATTAAAGAAAGAAATGCCTTTGTATTTTTCTTTTTCATTTTATTTGGGTTTTCATTTTATTTTGATTATGTATTACATAACACACTGCATGCTTCATAATATATCAAATAACCTTCTAGCAGGGGTAGATGACCATACTGAGTTTTTTCCATCAATCAGGAAAATGCTTCCTTAATCAATGTTCTCTAAACCCTGAAAAACAGTTTAAAAAAAGAGAATGTGAGAATTCTTTTCCCATCAAAGATGTACCATGTACTTTATTTCCACTGACACAGAATGACATTCTCTCTTATTAAAAACAAGTGTTTTCACATCCTGCAACAATATGGAATTGAAATGCAATGAATTTTATAATCACCATAGAAGAATAATCTGTAATGATTTCTACTTTTCCTTTTCTGAGAGCAGCAAACATTACTTTACATGAAAAGACCCTTCCCTCCCTGTAATCAGAACTAAAATCAAGAAACTATTTTTAACACCTCAATTCTTACACAAAGCACTCTCTGAGTCAGAGGATAATAGGGTAAAATCTGCTTCATAAAGTAACAGCCAACTTGAGGTACATACTATTATCCTCATTCCATTTTTTTTCAGATGAGGAAATAGAGGCTCAGAGAGGTTAAAAAAACCACTTGCTTAAGTCAGTAAGGATGTAGCAAAACCAGAATTCAAGTACAAGGACCCCCAACTCCAAAATCCTTGCCCTGTAAGCACTACACTACTTTTCAAGAGTCACAACCAAATACTTCAGCATCTATAAATTAAAAGATTATTCAGTGACGACATTTCTTCTAGGTATTTTGTTTACTACTACTGGAAGAATTGCCTTGAGAGAAGACAAAATAGTATACTTCTAGGAGCTACCTCTCAGAAATCTTAATCCTATTTCACATGCCAGGTGATCTTGATGGTTATTCTTAGACCAAACTTTGAGAAACACAGCTCTAGACAAGTAGATACAGCTATCCCCCCTTATCTATTAGGGATCCATTCCAAAACCACCAGTGGATGCCTGAAACCACAAATGTACATACTGTTTCTTCCTATATATACATTCCTGTTATAAAATTTAATTTATAAATTAGGCACAGTAAGAGTTTAATAGTAACTAATAAAATAATTATAATAAAAGCATTTAACATTTTATAACTTTATTTCTGGAGTTTTCCATTTTAGATCACAGTTGATGGAGGTAACTGACATGGAAAGTGAAACTGCAGATAAGGGAGGACTACTGTATCTAACTTCTGTTATCTCAAATAGCAGTATATTGAGAGGCAGATCACCTACGTTGAGTTATTTAATTGCTCTGACCCTCTGTTTTTCACCTACAAAATGAGAATAATATTTACCTAGGTTCCCTGTGAAGAATAAATGAGCAAGGAATAAATATTAAAAAGTATCTAAAATTTTTAAAAAGAATTATTAGGAAAAACTACTCCTATAAGTTATATGAACATACTATTAGGTTGAGCCATATGAAAATATTACTACTTGGTCATTTTGACTTATAGAAAACAGCAGTTTAATGATTCAGTCAAACACAGAATTACAACAATTCTTTAAGTAAGTTATTAGTGTGCCAACTGGCAGACCAGTGGAATACAGAAGAGCACATTCAGGAAACAGGCCCATGTATATATGGAAATTTAGTTTACTAGAATGGTATTACAAATAAAAATAAACTGTTTTATAAATTAATGATGGTAACAACTGACTATCTCCTGGAAAAAAGTTAAATCCTTGTTCACATTATATTCCCAAATGACCAGTAGATGGATCAAATAAGGACACGAGGGGAAAAAAAAAAGAAACTGTAACAGTATTTGGAAAGTATATATGCTTATAATCTTGGGTAGAAAAGGCATTTGTTACAGAAGATGTAAAACCCAGAATACAGAAAGATAAACTAAACATCAAAATTAAAAACTACTATCTGATGAAAAATATCACAAAGTGAAAAAGAAGACTGGGAAAAATATTTGCCATACATAAAAATTTTTTATAAAAATGCTGTTTTCCTTTTTTTTATATACGTTTATTTTTATTTATTTATTTGTATGTGGTGCCGAGGATCGAACCCAGGGCCCCGCACATGCTAGGCAAGTGCTCTACCGCTGAGCCACAATCCCAGCCCATACATAAAATTTTTAAATAATTAAAATCCAGGGGCTGGGGATGTGGCTCAAGCGGTAATGCGCTCGCCTGGCATGCACGGGGTACTGGGTTCCAGCTTCAGCACCACATAAAATAAAGATGTTGTGTCCACTGAAAAACTGAAATATTAAAAAAAAAAAAAAGCTGTGCTTCATGGTGCAAGCCTTTAATCCCAGTGATTTGGGAAACTGAGACAGGAGAATCAACAAGTTCAAAACCAGCCTCAGCAACTCAGAGACACCCTGTTCCAAAATTTAAAAAAGGAATGCCTCTGGGTTCAATCTCCAGTATTTAAAAACAAATTATTAAATACATAAAAGATTGCTTGCCTCACTAGTAGACAAGAAAATGCAAATTAGGTTCCAGAGCTCCCCTCAAACCTGGCAGATTGTGAGCATCAGAAACATCTTACCTTTGATTTATAATAGCGATTAACTCCAGATATGCGTCTATCTCTTTCCATCAAACTCCACTGATAGTGAAAATGGGCAACCCTTTTTTCCTTCAAATAAAAGACAAACATTATTGCAATTTGTAAAGATAAGTGACCCAACGGATGGATCTTACAACTTTTAATAAGTGCTATGCTAGAAAAATGGAATCATCACTGAAATAAAAGCCAAATTAGTTGGGCAAACCTATAATCCCAGCGACTCAGGAGGCTGAGGCGGGCGGCTTGAAAGTTCAAAGACAACCTGGGCAACTTGCCAAGACCCTGTCTTAAAATTAAAAATATGAAGGATTGGGGATGTAGCTCAGTGGTAGAGCACCCCAGGATTCAATACTCAGTATCGCTAAAAAAATTACTTAATTAGTTAATTAAACTAAAGACAAATTGACATACAACACCAGAACCTGGTACCTCACGGGTGAAAGACAATCACGAAACCAAAAACCAAATCTATATATATATTCCGAGTGTACTTAAAGACGTTGTGAAGGACTAGAACGAGGAAAAAATGAAAATCCGAATGTGATTCCCTAAAGGCTTGCAAAGCAAAGTGGGGGATAAAACCTTCATGGCGGAGGGAGGGGACTATGGGTAGGGAAAAAAATTAAGAAGCTACAGAGATGTGAACATGAGAAATTAAAACCAAAATCGACAAAAAAGATCGGAGGTCTAAAGGGATGGGAACATGACAAGCGCCTCTCCGCTCTGCCTAGGAATTTTGACCTACCTACCTCTTTCATCTCTATCTTTCCAGCACCAGATAGGCTACTCTGCCCTATGACACTCTCTTCTCCCTTCAGGAACTATCTATTTCTAATTAAAGCAAGCTGTGCATTCCGCAAGCCTCCACTTTTAGGCAACATCAAGAAAGAGGAGGGTCAGCCTTGGTATCTCCCATCTCGGAGAGAGGCTCTATATCCTAACAATCTCCCTATCCCACCGCTGTTTTGGGACCGCGGTCCGTGGAATCGTTCCCCGGTTGGGGGAAGTAGCCTTACCTTGCCCCCGTTAGTGAACCTGTGGATGTACACAGTTGCCACTCCCGGGATAAGCAAGCACGCGCCCATTATACCGAGTCCTGGAAGAATTTCGAACCACATTTCGGCACGGTTATCTAAACCAAATCCCTACCCCTTAGGCTCCTTAGAGGTGACCGGTTTCGGCTTCTTTCCCAGGAAACCCCGCGGCACCCCGCGAGAGGGCGGTGCCCTGTCTTCCTCCGGAAGAAGCGACGGAGTCCGCCAAGGCTCAAGAATGTCAAGGGCTCGCGCACTAGCCTTCCGTCACTATCGCTCTCTTGAGGTTCTTTCCTCTGGTTTTTCAGTTCCGACTCACCGCAGAGCGTAAGACGCTCAGTGACGTGAAGAACTCCGTGCAACCCACCAGCCACAGCAGTTTCGGAGCTCGGGACTCTAAAATGGCAGAGCAACTTTCTCCAGGAAAGTCGGCAGACCAAGTGTGCACCTTCCTCTTCAAAAAGCCTGTGCGGAAAGGGGCAGCAGGCCGGCGAAAACGCCGGATCTGCGACCCGGAGCCCGGGGAAAGCAGCAGCAGCAGCAGTGACGAAGGCAACACTGTGGTCCGACCGGAAAAGAAGCGTGTGGCCCACAATCCAATGATACAGAAGACCCGCGGCAGTGGTAAACAGAAGGCGGCCTACGGCGACTTGAGTAGTGATGATGAGGAGGAGAATGAGCCTCAGAGTCTCGGCGTGGTCTACAAGTCCACTCGCTCGGCGAAACCAGTGGGGCCAGAGGATATGGGGGCGACAGCCGTCTATGAGCTAGACACAGAGAAGGAGCGTGACGCACAAGCCATTTTTGAGCGCAGCCAGAAGATCCAGGAGGAGCTGAGGGGCAAGGAAGATGACAAGATCTACCGGGGAATCAATAATTATCAGAAATACATGAAGCCCAAAGATACGTCTATGGGCAATGCTTCCTCTGGGATGGTGAGGAAGGGCCCCATCCGAGCCCCTGAGCATCTCCGTGCCACCGTGCGCTGGGATTACCAGCCCGATATCTGTAAGGACTACAAGGAGACTGGCTTCTGTGGCTTCGGAGACAGCTGCAAATTCCTCCATGATCGTTCAGATTACAAGCACGGGTGGCAGATCGAACGTGAGCTTGATGAGGGTCGCTATGGTGTCTATGAGGATGAAAACTACGAAGTAGGAAGTGATGATGAGGAAATACCATTCAAGTGTTTCATCTGCCGCCAGACCTTCCAAAACCCAGTTGTCACCAAGTGCAGGCATTATTTCTGCGAGAGATGTGCACTGCAGCATTTCCGCACCACCCCGCGCTGCTATGTCTGTGACCAGCAGACCAATGGCGTCTTCAATCCAGCGAAAGAATTGATTGCTAAACTGGAAAAGCAGCGAGCTGCAGTAGAGGGTGGTGCTACGGATTTCCCAGAAGAGCCTGATGAGGGTCCAGTCCCCATTACCTAGATGGTTTTCCATAATTCTCAAATCTCAAAATAAATATTTTGTTGCTCTTTTGAAAATCTTAATTCGTGTCCTTTTTTTTTTTTTTTCAGGGAAAGTGACAGAAAAGGTGGGTGTTGAGATAGGGTCCTGGTTTAAAAGCTTCAAGGTGAGTATTGTGAAGATTTTTAGCACTGGGATAAACATTTCACCTGTGTTTTTCAGAAACCTTGAGCAAAAATTAAGGGGATGGGAGAAGTTCGAGAAAAGAGCTAGAATTTGCTTGAAGTAACACAAAGCTGTGATGAAAGCCTATTTATTATATCACATTTCTTTATCACATAATAGTTTACAAAGTACTCTGATGCATTATCTCTCTTGGGAGCCAGAACTACTTGAAAATACACCCAAACCAAAGTGTTGGGGTAAGGGTTAGGGAGCATGTCCTCGGTATGGTCCTTGCCCTCTTAAGCACCTATAGGTAATCCCCAATTTCTTGGATATAGAAATGAGATGTGCTGTCCAATACCATAGATGCTAGCCCCACATAGCTATTGAGTACTTGAAATGTGGCTAGTGGTCACTGTATTGAATGTTACAGTTCTAAACTTATTAATTTGCATAGGGCAAAAACTTATAATCCAGGCTGGGGCTGTAGCTTAGTAGTAGAGTGCTTGCCTAGCATGTGTCAGGCACTAGGTTCACATTAAAATAAATAAGTGGAATGTGATGGACATTGTTATCCAAAGTACACGTATGAAGACACGAATTGTTGTGAATACACTATATATATAACCAGAGATATGAAAAACTGTGCTCCATATGTGTAATAAGAATTGTAATGCATTCCACTGTCATATATAAAATAAATAAATAAAAATAACAAAAAATGAAAAATAAAATAAAGGCATGCTGTCCATCTACAACTATAAAAAAAATTTTAGGGGCTGGGGATGTGGCTCAAGCGGTAGAGCGCTCGCCTGGCATGCATGTGGCCCGGGTTCAATCCTCAGCACCACATACAAACAAAGATGTTGTGTCCGCCGAAAACTAAAAAAAAAATTAAAAAATATTTTTAAAAAATTTTAAAAACATAATCACAGACTCTAATAGAGTTGATCATGCCCTTTAAAGTTAGTAGATGTGCTTGTCTTTCCAACTCAGTAACTAGCATAGCATTTGGTATACTGTAATCACTTAATAAATAAGATCAGAGATTTAGGAAGAGTGATTGGGGCCAAACCCTCAAATCCAAGATGAGGGGCTTTGACTATATTCTGTAGATAATGGGGAAACAGCAGAGGATTGGGGAGGGGAAACACAAGTAGACTGTGGGAGTTTTTGTTGTTGTTGTTTGTTTTGGTTTGGTTTTAATGTTACTGATGTTGCAGTCATGGTATGGATTGCAGAGAGATGGAAGACAAGAGGCCAGGAGAGCAGTTAGGCCAAATGATTAGTAAATATTATTAAAATAACTAGAATTTGGACTGATCAGGAAGCAGATGAAAGAATAAAGATTAAACTCTTTTTTAATTCACATTAACCTATTTAAGGATATTCTTTGAGCAGTTGCACTGCACTTGTCACAGGGGATATTAGCAGTGAACAAGATAGACACAGACCCTGCCCTCATAGAACTGGACATTAAATAATAACAAGTGTGATTAGTACACTGATTAGTGCACTGAGTTTAATCTCCAGAATTAACCCAATCCCAGCCGTGGAGGAATTCAAAGACATGAACCCACATCATACACTGTGATACATTCTATTATATAAAGTATCATGGGGATCATGAGATACACAACAGCCTACAGGGAAAGAGGCTTAGGAAGCATCCCATAAAAAACATTAAAAGATGTGGCTCAAGCGGTAGCGCGCTCACCTGGCATGCGTGCGGCCCAGGTTCGATTCTCAGCACTACATACAAACAACGATGTTGTGTCCGCCGAAAACTAAAAAATAAATATTAAAATTCTCTCTCTCCCTAAAAAAAAAAAAAAAAACATTAAAAGAGTAGAGGAAGAAACAGCCAAATAGGAACAGAAAAGAGGACATTTAGAGGCAGATGGAGAAGGAGGAGAATACACTGCCATGCAAGGTAGAGGAAAAGTAGCTTAGAAAGAAATATGGCCATGAGGAGCAAAAGAAGCATTAAAATTGCTCAATTTTTGGTTACTATTCCTGAAAATATATACTTAACAATTTATTCAAAGTAGAATAAAGCTTTATGGGGAAAGGTATACTTTGAATCATATAAACTGAGAGAAAGATCCAGGAACACAATAGAGAAGATGAAAGAGAAAATGCTGCTGCTGACTACTAACTTCTAGAAGGTAGAGCTGGGAAGGTATGGAATTAGCACAAATCATCCAGGCATAGTGACAGCACACACCTATAATCCCAGGCTGAGGCAGGAGGATGGCAAATTCAAGGCCAGCCTCATAATTCAGTGAGGCCCTAAGCAACATAGTGAGATCGTGTCTCAAAAAATAAAAGGGGAAAAAATTCAAAACAAAAATAAAAGGGGCTGGGATGTGGCTAAGTGGTTAAGCACCCCTGGGTTCAATACATGGTACCAAAAAAAAAAAGATCAAGTTAGTCTTAAAGAGATAAGAGAAAAAAGTGAAGAAATAACATTTGCTTACTATTCCACATAATGTTTTTCTTTCTTTCTTTCTTTCTTTCTTTTTTTTTTTTTTTTTTTGGTATTATATGGAGAAATGTCCCTTCAAATCCTTTGCCCTTTTTTTTTTTTTTTTGGTACTGGGCACTTACCCACTGAACCACATCCCCAGTCCTTTTTGTATTTTATTTTAGAGACTACTAACTTTTAGAATTTAGTAGTCAACAGCAGCATTTTAGACACAGAGTTACTTAGGGCCTCACTAAGTTGCTGAAGCTGGCTTTGAACTCACGATCCTCCTGCCTCAGCTTCCCAAGCCACTGAAATTACAGTGTGCACCACCATGCCCGGCTCCCACATAATGTTTTTAGTACTTGTATGTGAAACTTGAAAGAGTACACAAAATACCTGCAAAAGACTATTGTTCTTGGGATTCACAGCATTCATTTCTTAAAAGCGATAAGTATTACAAAAGCACATAATAGTGTACTCAGAAGTATCTTTCATGTTTATTGTTAGACCAGGACACAAGAAAAGACCACCGACTCCAATTAAAATCAAATTAAAGCAAGCGTATTATTTCGACCGGCCGGGCTGCCTCTCCCTCCCAAAATGGTGGGAACAAGACAGCAGCCCAGCTTTCCTGCAGCCCAGGATTATAGACCAAAAAGTTACACAAAGCAGGGGTTACAGATAACAAAACTCTGACAAGCATCACACTAATGGTAGTTAACATTTTTTTTGCTGGCCCCAACATCAGAATTTATGAGGACCATTAGAGCCTCAGAGAGGGTCGTTATCTGGCCAGGGAAGGCCAATATTTATGAGGTGTCACTAAGGTTTCAGAGAGGGCTGCTATCTGGTCAGAGAGCTAGGCATGGGTGAGTTCAAGGCACAGGCAGGCATTCCAAGCAGGTTCAGAATTTGCAGTAATTTATAGTAAAGCGAAATTATCTTTTCATGGCTTTGTGGCAAGATGGCTCCCGATTTTGAGAAAAGATCAGGTTGGGTCTATCATTTATAAGCTTATGATCAACATTTTTTTTTAGAGAGAGAGAATTTTTTAATATTTATTTTTTAGTTTTTGGCAGACACAACATCTTTATTTGTACATGATGCTGAGGATCGAACCCAGGGCCATGTGCATGCCAGGCGAGTGTGCTACCACTTGATCCACATTCCCAGCCCATGACCAACATATTTAAAGTAAATATTTTATCACCTTTACTTAAATGGTACAACTTCATAGGTGGAAATTAAATACTTGTTCTTACAAATTGAAAATAAATAAATATGGGATGGAGGGAGGAAGCACCTCAGCACCCTGCAGGGACGAAGCTGTAGCTGGACTCTGAAGGAGCTTACAAAGTCTGAGCCTCCCTTGGGAAATAAACCTCAAATTGAGATTTGAAAGGTGAACAGGAGAGAGAGTATCCCAGGCAGCGGGATATACTAAGGACCTGATGTGAGAGACTGGCTTCAGCTAAGAACTCAAAGTGATCCAGCATGACTGGAGGAAAAAGACCAAGATGGCCAGGTAGTCAAAGCCAAAGATAGACACCTTGCACTTGGCATAGGGGATGTTATGGAGAAGGAGGAGAGTACACTGCCATACAAGGATTTGGGACTTTATCTGAAAGGCCAAGGGATGGCCATCAAAGGATTCTAAGAATAAAAGTGAAATGGCCTTATTTTAATTTCTAAAAGATATTTCTGCAGTGTGATAAATGGTTTGAAGGAAACCAGACAAAGAGGGCTGGGCAAAGAGATCAGTTAGGAGGGAGGTGATGTAGTCCAGGTGAGAGGATGATGGAGTAGGCTAGACTGGTGGCTGTGGACAGTCATTTAATACATTTTTTTGAGCACTCACCTCATGACAGACTTGAAGTAGTGGAGTCATTACACAAGCACATAAGTCCCAGCTCCCATAGAACTTACATGAGAGACAGTAACAGATTTAAACATATATGTGTGTGTATGTATACATATTTATACATATATAGAGAGATAAATAGATGTACATATATAATATCAGATTATGACAAGTATTGGGAAAGATGATAATGCAAGATAAGGGGATAAAAAATCAGGGAAGTGGGGGAATGTTATTTTTTGGAGGGGTAGTGGGAATTGAACTTGGGCACTCAACCACTAAGCCACATCCCCAGCCTTATTTTGTATTTTATTTGGAGACAGGGTCTCACTGAGTTGCTTAGTGCCTCGCTTTTGCTGAGGCTGGCTTTGAAATCATGATTCTCCTGCCTTAGCATCCCGAACCTTTGGGATTACAGACATACTTCACCACACTGGGTTGGGAATGTTATTTTGTATATGGTGGTCAGAGAGGGCTTCTGATCAGGTGACATTTGAAGAGAGACCTAAAGGAAGTGGGTATCTGGAAGGAGAGCATGCCAGATTGAATGCCAAGTGCAAAGGCTCTGATACAAGAAAGTGCCTGACGTCTGCAAGGGACAGGGAGGAAGAAATGTAATTGGAGTGGATTGAATCAAGAGAAAAGAACTTTAAAATGAGGTCAGAGTAGTTGGAGGAAGGGGCAACTATGAGCAGCCTTATTAACCATTACAAGGACTTAGGCTTTTATTCTCAGTGGTGGGAAAAGCCACTAGGAAGTTTTGAGTGGAGGAATGACATAAGGTAACACTGGCTTTGAAAAGAATTCTTCTCAGGGATGGGATGTAGCTCAGGAGCAGCACTTGTGTAGCATGCACAATGTCTTGGGTTCAATTCCCAGTACTGGAAAAAAAAATCAAATCCTTTTGAATTTGGGGGGAGCAATAGGAATGTTTTATATCTTTTAAAAATATTATTTTATGGGGCTGGGGATATGGCTCAAGCGGTAGCGCTCTCGCCTGGCATGCGTGTGGCCCGGGTTCGATCCTCAGCACCACATACCAACAAAGATGTTGTGTCCGCCGAGAACTAAGAAAAAATAAATGTTAAAATTCTCTCTCTCTCTCTGTCCCTCTCTCTCTCTCACTCTCTCTTTAAAAAAAATATTATTTTATTTTATTAGTTGTAGATGGACACAGTACTTTTTATTTATTTAATATTTATTTTTTAGTTTTAGGTGGAAACAATATCTTTATTTTATTTTTATGTGGTGCTGAGGATTGAACCCAGGGCCTCACCCATGCTAAGCAAGCACTCTACATTTGAATCACAACCTCAACCCTTAGTTATTTATTTTTATGTGGTGCTAAGGATCAAAGCCAGTGCCTCACACATGCTAGGCAAATACTCAGCCACTGAGCCACAGCCCCAACCCTGTTTTACATCTTTTTTTAATATTTATTTTTTAGTTGTAGATGGACACAACACAATACCCTTATTTTTATGTGGTGCTAGGTGAGCGCTCTACCATTGAGCCACAATCCCAGCCCCCTGCTTTACACCTTAATTGAGGTGTTTGTTACATGGTTGTCTACATTTGTCTGAACTCACTGAAATGTATATTTATATGTGTTTCATTGTATTGAATGCAATCACATTGTATGTGGTTATATCTTATTAAGAAATATATTACTAGATGCACTAGCTCATACCCATAATTCCAGCAACTCAATAGGCTGAGGCAGAAGGATCTGAATCTCCAGGCCAGCCTTGACAATTTATTGAAACACTGTCTCAAAGTAAGAAAAAAAAAATCCTGGTGGGGTGGCACACACCTGTAAACCCAGGGGCTCTGAAGGCTGAGACAGGAGTATCCCAAGTTCAAAGCCAGCCTCAGCAAAAGCCAGGCACTTAGCAACTCAGGGAAACCCTGTCTCTAAATAAAATATAAAATACAGCTGGGGACGTGGCTCAGTAGCTGAGTGTCCCTGAGTTCAATCCCCAGTACCCCCCACTCTGCCCCAAAAAAAATAAAAAAAAAAAAAAAAAGTTCAAAAAGGGTTGGATATGTAGCTAGTTCAGTGGTAAAGTACCCCTGTGTTCAGTTCCCAGTACTTTCACCAAAAAAAAAAAAAAAAGTGCACAAAGACTTTACAAAATCTAAATAGGTATTAACTAGCTTGCTTTTTTAAAATATTTTTTTAGTTGCCAATGGATTTTTTTTAACTTTGTTTATTCATATGCGGTGCTGAGGATCTAACCCAGAGCCTCACACACGCTAGGCAGCGCTCTACCACTGAGCCACAACCCCAGTCCCTTATTTTTGTTTTTGTGGTAGTGAAGATTGAACCCAGGGCTCTCTACCACTGCGTTACATTCTCAACCCTATTTATTTATCTTTTTATTTATTTATACTGAAGATTGAAACCAGAACTATTCTGCTTCTGATATAGATCCAGTCCTTTTTAAATTTTATTTTAAGATAAGGTCTTGCTAAGTAGCCAAGGTTGACTTCAAACTTGTAATCCTCCAGCCTCAGCCTCCAGAGTCACTGGGATAAGAGGTGTATACCACCACACCTAGCTTAGCTGTTAATATAAAAAAGAGAAGGTTAAAACAATGAAACCCAGGGGCTGGGATTGGGGCTTAGTGGCAGAATGCTTGCCTCGAATGTTTGAAGCACTGGGTTCGATCCTCAGCACCACATAAAAATAAATAAATAAAGGCATTGTGTCCATCTACAACTAAAAAAAAATATTTAAAAAAAAAAAAACAACAACGAGGGCTGGGGACGTGGCTCAAGCGGTAGCGCGCTCGCCTGGCATGCGTGTGGCCCGGGTTCGATCCTCAGCACCACATACCAACAAAGATGTTGTGTCCGCCGAGAAGATTCCAATAAAGGGACATCCAACCAGTACTACTCAAAACTGTGAAGGTCATCAAAAACAAGGAAATCTGAGAAACTGTCAGAATCAGGAGGAGTCAAAGTGCTGGCACAAAGGTGCACATCTGTAATCCCAGTGACCGTCTGAGGCAGGATGATGACAAGTTAAAGGCCAGCCTTGGCAACTTATCAAGGGCCTAAGCAACTGAGAAAGATCCTTCCTGTCTAAAAATTAAATATTAAAAAAAAAA